GTGCATGTATCTCTGCACCCGCTGTGCCTCCCCATCCTTATCCTCATCCTGATCCTCTGCCTCCTCGCGTGTATGGTGACCACCTGCGCCGCCGCCACCCTCCTCGTCCATCCCCTCTGGCTGGATGATGATGGCCTCGCTGGCCTGCCTATCCCGCCCAGCCCGGCCGCTCTCCTGCGCGTAATCTAACAATGTCCGCGGCACGCCAATGTGGATGATCACCCGGATGTCTGGGATATCCACCCCCATCCCCAACGCATTGGTGGCCGCGATCACATCCATGGTCCCCTGGATGAACCGCTCTAACACCCCCACGCGGTCCACCTGCCGGCTGTGGTATGCCTCGCACCTGAATATCTCCGCCATGGCCTGCACCTGCCGTATGGCGTTCGCGTATATCACTACCTTCCCGCCACCGGCCTGCCGCACCTGCTGGATGCGCGCCTGGATGAATGTAATGATCCTGGGATCCTGCTCCCACTTGTATGGGCTTGCCACCATGGGCCGCCACACCCGGTACGCCACGTTGCGGCGGCTGGTGCGTGCGCGATATATATATATCTGGTCGCGCGGGTAATGGATGCGCTGGCTGAACTCGCCTTCCATCTGCGGGGGTAACGTGGCGGTTAAATACACCATTGGGCACCGCGCCCGGACCAACTGGCCTAACTACGCCATCTGCGGCCGGAAATCCTTCTGCGCATTCATGATGATATGGCATTCGTCCACCACCACGCGGTCCAACCGGCGCATCATCACCAACTAGTTAATAAACGACTGGAAATCGCTCGTCACCGCGGACTCGGGCGTCACCAACACGATGGCTGCCTCGTCGGGCGGCCGCTGCCGGTCCCACGCCACGCATGACACCCCCAGCTACCGGCACCGCCGCGCCATGTCCTGGCGCAACGATATCAACGGGACCACCACGATGGTGGTGCCGCCGGGCACGGCCCACGCGGGTAACATGAACAACATGCTTTTGCCACCCCCCGTGGGCATGATGGCCACCACCGGGCTGCGGCCCTGCTGGATGGCGGCCATGGCGCTGGCCTGCACGCCGCGGAACTGCATGCGGGCCTGGCCGGTCATCTGCTGCATCGCCGTGGTCATGTCCATGGCCTGCAACTGCTGCTGGCGCTCCCACTGGTGCTCCTTGGCCTCGGCCTGCCATGGCGCGCGCTTGCGCTTGCCCAACGTCATGGTGGTGGCCGGGCGAACCCTAACCCTAACGTCTGCATGGCCGCTGGGCTGGCCGGGGCTAACCCCAACTGCTTGCGAACCGCTTGGGGCGCGGGCCCCGCTGCCTGCGGGTTGGGGCTGACTATCATCCCTAGCATGGCTAACCCTAACCCTAATATCGGTGGCGGTGGGATGGCGGTGGTGGTCTGGGCTGGGCGCGCGCGGGGTTTGCAACCATGGTTGTAAATGGCCTGGGGCGCCAGCTGCCTCGTCCGTGGGGACTAACCATGGTTGCAAACCGCTTGGGGCGCGGGCCCTGTTTCCTGCGGGTTGACTACCGTCGTCCTGGCTAAACCCAACTGCTTGGGAACCGCTTGGGGCGCGGGCCCCGTTTCCTGCGGGTTGACTACC